TGCTGTTTCCAGACAGCTAGACAATTGTCATCTGTCGAAACCTCGAAGTTCATTGTTACCAAATGACTGGAAATCAGTCATCGATTCAGATGACCTCAACACATTTTGTGCAGGAGGTTATACCCCACCTTCAAGCTATGATGGTAGCAGATATACGCATTGTCTTCGGTTGATCAGAAATGTCTGTCAGCATTGGGGTGATATACAGCCACGTCCAGCATTGAAAGATATGGGTCAGGCCGCATCTATTGAAGAATATTTTCTTCAATTATGGCCCACACTACCCCTTGTGGTGCATCAAATAATTAGGGAGCACCCTGCCTGGAAAACACGCCCTAAATTGAAAGATTTTTTCCCTGTGATAAACCGCCGCACAATGTCCGATGCAGACAAAAGCTTGGTTAGTATATTTCATTCTGGTTTTCAGTACCCCTTCACCACCACAACGGACACACCCCAGCCTGTTATGGCAACATTTTTGGTTCACTGGGTACTGGATAATAATTAAGCCACCATTTTGAACCTTGTGTAATTATCACGTTTTGTCAATTAAGCATTCCAGAAATAATGTTCTTTTTGTATTTTTTTAAGAACAATATATGTAGAATGCATTTGTTTATTTATTCATAGATTCTTCAAGGCCATTGTGTTAAAGCGCTCATTTGAGAGAAAGCAGTGCTCCATCATGCCATTAATGGCACTTTAAACAACACGAAATAAGATGGAATATATTCTGTATATACAAAACAGGACAATTGTCAGTGTCCAGTAATATGCAACTAGTGAGAGTTGCTACATTTAATGTATAACATTTTAGACTTAGTGAAAATTTAGCTTAGTTAATTTTAGCTTAGTTAAAAAATCTTCTTAGTTTGCACAATACAGACTCTTATATAATATATATATATATATATATATATATATATATATATATATATATATATATATATATATATATATATATATATATATATATATATATATTTATATATATTTATATATATATATATATATATATATATATATATATTTGTTGTAGTAGATAATAAAGTGCTCAACACTAGTATTATAGTAGAACAAGATATATTTATATCTTAAAATTAATTATTGCTACTCAAGTTTCACGCCTTATTCAAGACGATCTTCAGGCAATTAATTCAGTTAGTGTTTGATTCGTCAATATCAACGGTCGCTCGCTGACGTGGAGGTTGACATAGACAAACCGGTGACGATAGACAAATATATATATATATATATATATATATATATATATATATATATATATATATATATATATATATATATATATATATATATATATATATATATATATAGCTTAAGATTTTGGTTTACGAAACACAAACAGTGCTCAATACCATATAGATAGAGCGTAATATAGTTTTTCGTTTTACCTCAAAAAACCACAACAGTCTGTTTCATCCGTATAGGAATCATCAGTATATATATATATATATATATATATATATATATATATATATATATATATATATATATATATATATATATATATATATATATATATATATATACTATTTAAAATATCATTAATAATTCATAAACCTTGTGGCAAATCATGTCAGCCATAATATGTCGCGTGGAGTGACTTTATATCTGATAAAGCATGTGGCATTATATAATGGTTCATCCTGTTAGTTTTAAAACGCGAATGTATTGTAAGCGTCATCACCTTAACGCGACGCAAATTATGCAGCTTATCTGATGTCAATCAGAGCTTGTCAATCTAGTTGCGCCTACGGGATAGAGTTTTTAGTTATAGTTGCGTAACTTGCGTGACTCAAGGAAGGTCATTCCTCCAGTACGTTCTGTCGTGTAAGGGCAAAGTTTTGTATCTGTGGACGCTATCGTGATAGCTGCTGGTAAATTATTTCTATCCACATTGTATTCTACGTACTCGCAGTGGTTTTCAAGCCAAAGTTAAAGTCATTGGTGCGCGTGTAAACCAACGTGAGTACACATTTGACCTTTCTTTTGTACAGTTGCAATTGTAGGTTCTATATGTTGTTAAATGATTTAGTTATTGTATATTCAGTTGAAATATTCACTTATTTTTAGTTAATGCATGTTAGGGTATGATATAGTTCATTTATTGATAGTTATTGCGTATTCGTGCGATCGCGTGATTCATGATATAGTCACGCAAACAGTATTTTCATAGTTTAATTTTAGTAGATATTTTTCTTTGTCATGTTATTTAGTTCGAACCGATAATCGATAACCGATTGTATACGACTATACCTTCTATTCTCGTGAACATTTTGGAACATCCGTATTATAAAGTATAACCTTATTTACGAACTGTGTCTGTATATATGTATGTGTATATATATATATATATATATATATATATATATATATATATATATATATATATATATATATATATATATATATATATATATA